GCAGCAAATGCATCCCTCTGATTGGGCAACAATAAGGGACCATTGCCTCAAGCGCAGGATGGACTTCCTAAAACAGTTAGGTTTTTTGTGGAATGTGCACCTCTCTGGTAACGGCAGCAGTTATTAACCTTGCTTACCTACCTGTGTAGGTAGTGAGCTGCCATCTTGAAACATTGCACTCCATTTGGTGATGGTACTCCCACTGTGGATTACGCTGTAGTTACCTGTTCAAGGTCAGTAATGGAATACTCTGATAAAGTAGAAACTTTCAGGATACAGCACCTAACAATTAAAATAACTTCCTAATCCCAATATCTTCAAATGCCTCAGAGATAGTAGGAACTGCAGATGCTGGAGAATCCGAGACAACAAGGTGCAGGGCTGGATGAACACAGCAGGCCAAGCAGCATCATAGGAGCAGAGAGGCTGACGTTTCGGGCCTAGACCCTTCATCTTCAAATGCCTGTTTGACCTGTTGACCCTGACTGGTACTGGCTACAGCAGAAATGAGCAGTCATTCTGCCATGGCATTTGGATGTGAGAGTTGGCTATCAACAAACTGATATCTGAACCCAACCATGGGGATCACTGATGTCATTTCCACTTCACCAGTCTGCACTGATGATGTGCATCCAAAACAGTTTTGGGTCTCTCTGTCAGACAGGCAAAGTAGCTTCACACCCTTTTTGTCAGGAGGAATCTCTCAATCTTTACTCAGCAGTGCAAACAACTGACGTTTTTGAGCATTTTACCAAGGTAGTGTTAAACTACTTCAGATGCAAGGTACCTTTTGCAGCACAGCAATTGTTATGTGATTCAAGCATCAAAACATGGTGTGAGGCTGGAGTTGTTTTTTTTTTTGTTGACCGAATGTGGGTGTCACTAACTAAGTCAGCATTTACTGCCCTTGAAAAGGTGGTGCTGAGCTGCATTTGGTACACACACAATGCTTTTAGAAAAGAAGTTCCAAGTTTTCAAAGTTCCAAGAATAACAATATAGTTGTAATCAGGATGGTGTGTGGCTGAGGGGGGATCTTGTGTTCGAATCTGCTGCCCTTGGCCAATGTAGGTGGTTAAAAATTGCAGGTTTGGAATGTGCTGCTGAAGGAGCCTTGGTGAGTTGCTGCTGTGCATCTTGTAGATGCTAGACCATGCTGCCAAATGAGTAGACCACTCTGTCATGGTGTAGAGCTTCTTTAGTGTTGCAGTTGCAGCTGCACTCTTCCAAGCAAGTGAGGAGTATTCCATCGCACTCCTGACTTTTGCCTGGTAGCTGGTGGGCAGGCTTTGAGGAGTAAGGAGGTGAGTTACTCTCTGCAGTATTCCTAGCCTCTGACCTGCTCTTGTAGCCTCGGTGTTTGTTTATCACAATATTTATACGATCTTCAATGCATCGTAAGGTAAGAAGTGGGGATGTTTACTGATGACTGCGCAATGTTCAATCCATTCATGACTTCTAAGATACTGAAGCAGTCAGTGCTCAAACACAGCAAGGCCTTGAATTTCCAAGCTTGGGCTGACAAGTGGCAAGTAAGATTTGTGCACACAAGAGCCAGGCAATTACTATCTCCAGAACAGAATCTAATCATTACCCCTCAACATTCAATGCTATCACCATCGCTGAATTCCCCCACTGTCAACATCCTAGTGGTTACCATGACCAGAAATTGAACTGTTCTAGTCCTGTTTTGCAAGGTTTCAATCAGATTTTCAAAGTGCCCTACCAAACAATTATTCAGGATGGAGTTAGAAGTCACATGGGAAAAGGTAGGTTGAATAGGAAGAATCAGCATCAATTTCTAAAGGGTGAAATTGTGCTTAAGTAACTTGCAGGAGTATTTTGAAGTGGCGACAGAAAGGGTCGATGAAGGTAATGGTCTTGGTGTGGTATGCCTGGGATTTCCAAAAGAGGTTTGATACAGGGCCACACAACAGACTTGTGAGAAAAGTTTTAACTCGTATAAAAGGGACAGCAGCAGCATGGATACAAAATTGGCTGAGTGATATGAAACAGTGTAATAATCAAAGAGTATGTTTCTGGCTGGTGGAATTCCTCAGGAGTCCGTACTGGGACCCTTGCCTTCCCTGATTTTTATATATAAATGAACTGGATCATGTGCAAGGGGCAGTTTCAAAGTTTGCCAATGACCCAAAACTTGGAAGATTGATAAACTTAGGGTAGGACAGTGTGGATCTCCAAATGGACATTAACAAGTTTGTGTAGTAGATTAGTTGGAAGTGTGAGGTGATTGACTCTCTTCAGAAAAGCATTGAAAGACTAAATAAAATCTCAAAGTGGGTGCAGGACAGGTGGAGAGAGCAGCCAATGAATCAGTGTTTCTTGGCTTTATTAATACACGTGTGTAGCACAAGAGCAAGATGGCAATTTTAAACTTGTTCAAGACACTTGTTAGACCTCAGCTGCAGTTTTGTGTACTGTTGTGGGTGCCACATTATATGAAAGATGTGATTACATTTGCAGAAGTGATTTATAATAATGGTTTCAAGGAATGAGAAAAATTCCATTGAGGCCTGACTGAAGAAGTTGAGACTCCTTGGAGAGAAGGCACTTTAGGGAAGATCTGATTGATGTGTCCAAAATCATAAGGAAGCTAGATAGATTAGATCTGGAGAAGCTGTTCCTGCTTCTAAAAGGAACAAGAATGAGAGGGCTTAGATTTGAAATGATAATGTCCAAAGAATGAAGGGTGATGTAAGAAAACCTATTCTGACAGAGTAGTGAGGGTAAGGAACGCACTGTCTGGAAATGTGGCTGTGTCATTTCTGTTATTCCATGATTGTGATGACCTCCTTAATAATCAATTTTTCAATGACTTTTATTAAGCTGTAACATCCTGCCATCTACCTGGTAGTTTTCAGATTTCTGATTCCTTCATCCGTAAATAGAGTGACAAACCTTTTGAAATCTGTCTCAGGCCTTTGAGCAGCTGCACGGTTTAGATATGTTACCTTCTTGAACCCAATTTCAACAAATTATTTTAAATCTTTTTGGCAACAGATCCAATCACAGAATGAATGTTTAAAACTGGTGCAAAAGTTATCAGTTCAATATGTACTTGAACCACAGGTGAGAAAAATGCTAAATTACAAGAACATGTCTGCTTGAGGTTTAACAGGCAAATGTCTGGTCAGAAGCTACATTCTGTACTCGTAGGGCAGATCATCTAAAAATAAGACCCACACATGTCTGTGCAGTATATCTGACATTGTGAGCACACTGTACAAGAGGTATGAGAAGAATGTGATGTAATGAGGCTGAAGATGACAGGTTGACCAGTTCCATGCATGCAAAGAAATTTATGTTTAATTTCATCTGGGATCTCTTGCTCTCTCGTTCACTGATGAATGCATAGTGTTGACCATTCACAACTCCTTGAACACTGAAACAGTCTGTATCCACATAAAGAAAGATTTGATAGCAATCAGCCTTGGGCTGGTAGGTGCCACACAAGTGCCAGGCTCTGACCATTTCCAACAAGAGAGTCTAATCATCTCCTCTTGGCATTGCCATTTCTGTATCCCTACTTTTAACGCTCTGGGAATATCATTGACCAGAAACTGAATTGCACCAGCTATTTCATACCATAGCTTCAAAAGCAGGCTAAAGGGTCAGTATTTATAGTGACTAACTCTCTTCCTGACGTCCCAAAACCTTTTTCGTACACAAGGCACAAATCATGAATGTAACATAAGTTCCAACCACATGCTAGGCTATGTGTATCTAAGCCAAAGCTGCTCGTTCGATTACCATCTGAAGCATTCACTTTGTCCACCACCAAATGGCAGTAGCAGCAATGGTGTATCATTTACAACATGCACTGTAGTAATGCACCAACGCTTCTTCAACAGTACCTTCCAATCTGCGATCTCTAACTAGGACATGGGCAGCAAATGCATTAGAATGCCACCACCTGCAAGTTCCCCTCCAAGCTGCACACCATCCTGACTGGGAACTATACTGACCATTCCTTTGCTGTTACTTGTTCAAAATCGTGAAACTGTCTTCCCAACAGCACTGTGTCCCTACACCACATTGACTGCGTTGGTTCGAGAATATCGTTCAAGTGTGTCACATTCAGCGGTAATGAATGGGCAACAAATGCTGGTCTTGCCAATAATACCACTTCCCACAAACTAATTTTTAGAAATAAAAATAGCAAAATGAGTGAAAATGTTGCAAGCTAACCGGAGCCCTTCATAACTTCTGTTGACCATACTATGCATGAATACTTAATAGCTAGCTTGTTTGCAATTTAAATTCTGTCCAGAACTTGTTTCTTCAATCTGAATTGACTTGGTTTATATTTCATTTAAAGTTTAGTCACTGTTTTTGTAATTTAATATACTATAAAATCTATCTAAATTGGATATTAGAGAATTGAATCTTTTGCTGCGTGAAAAAAGGATGGGGCAGAACACATTGTATCTTATTTGGTAAGTACTGGAAGAAGTGCAAGAGCAGGGTGGGAAGACTAGTATTGAACTGCTGTGGCAACAGCATGAATTTGCCTCTTCCTGTTTGATCAATCACAGTGGATCTTTTCTCTGCATGTTTTGCAACTTCATTCTGGTTGCAAGCAAATCCAAAGTCTCTGAGCCCAAAAAAGTGTCTTTTTCAAGGTCACCAACTACATTTATATCCAGTCGTTGAACAGCTTATTCACTTCATGAAAATTGTGTTCTCTTGCATAGAATTGGAACTGTTGTGACAGAATTGTTCATCTTGATCCACTTATCTGACTGAGCAGAAACTACAATGCATATTGTTTGAAGACTCATTAGGGAGACTGCTCCTTTGCTCCAAGATGATCCTAGATCAGTTCTGATTTGCTGCCATTGACTTTACTAAATACTTAATCAGTTCTTCACTGGAGTACCTATATTGTAAATTATTTACTCATCTACCATGTACCAGTCATTCGTTCAGCACATAATAAAGCATTTGCTAACTTCACTAATCATTTCCTTCTCCTCTGCAGAGTGGGAACAGTTTCCATGTCTTTGACCAAGGACGTTTCGCAAAAGAGGTGCTTCCAAAATACTTCAAGCACAATAACATGGCTAGCTTCGTCCGGCAGCTCAACATGTGTAAGTAGTGGCAGCTGGTATATGCTAAGCTGCTGCTTATTGAGCATTGAGTATGTGCCTGGCAAAATGAAATCCATTTGGTATGTTTTTAATCAGTTACAAATTAAAGAAACCTAGAAAGAATCCTAATCAGCTATTCGTAAGAGATAAAGGTAGCTAATTGTGCTTTTGTGCTCTCATTTGCTTATGATATACTCCCACTGTCAACTATAGAATTGACTTTTTTTTTTAAGAATACTTCTGTAATTTGTCATATTTAGGCAATATTTTTGATTTATCCTGTCTCTGTTTCCTTCATCCCTTCAAACAATTACAGTCATTGAGTCGTACACCATGGAAACAAACTGTTCGGTCCAACAAGTCTACGCCGACCATGTTCCCTCCAAATCTTTCCTATTCATTTTCTTATCCAAATGTTTTTTAAATTTTGTATCTTTGCCTGCATCCTCCACTTCCTCTGGCAGTTCATTCCACATACGAACCACTCTGTGAAAACAGTTGCCCCTTGTGTCCTTTGTAAAACTTTCTTCTCTCACCTTTAAAAATATGCTGCCTAGTTTTGAACACCCCCACCGTAGGGAAAAGACCCTTGCTATTCACCCTATCTATGCCTGTCTTTTTTTTTATAAACCTCTCAAGTCACCCTCAACCTCCTATAGTCTAGTGAAAAAAGTCCAAGCCTATCCAGCCTATTTTTATAACTCAAACGCTCCATTCCTGCCAACACCTTCGTAAATCTTTTCTGAGCCCTCTCCAATTTAATAGTATCCTTCCTATAGCAGGGTGACCAGAACTGTACACAGTACTCCAAAAGAGGCCTCAGCAATGTGCTGTACAACAGGGAATGTGTCTCAAAAGCCTGAGCAACAAGCAAACCTAACTACCTCATGGGGCTACTTTGCAATAACCATGAGTGCTATTCTCCACTAACAGAATGATGCCATCAAACCAAAACTGTTTTTAATTACACAGAAGAGTAATGTGGTTCATGCTTTCATATCAGTCTGATCCCAGGCATATTGCCCTATGTCCCAATAACCAGCAGATCATCTCAAAAAACACGTTCCTTCAAAGAAGCTCAGGGGGTTTCGCGCTGGTCGATACCATGCTTGCAAATCTCAGACCATCCTGTCGACCACTGAATGTGATTTAGCTGTTGGACAATATTTACTAAGTAATATTGAGTATACTGTAAGTTACACTGATGACCAACTTAGGGTTGTCAGTAGAGCTTGCATTTGCACGTACTAAAAACCGCACATTCACAGACCAGGTCATGTTATAAGTTGGCAGAAGTAATTTATCCATACAGTGTACCTTTTCCTTGAAGAAAATGTTCTGGACACTGCCAATCCCTGTTTCATGTCCCATGGCAATGCCCTTTCGAGTTATCTGCCTAGTCTGAGTTTAGTCATCCATCTAAGATTGACAGTTGATAGTTCCTGCTGTATCTCCATGCCAACCAATCAGCACTGTCTTCTCGTGCTTCTGATGAAGCTTCTGTCACATAATTTGAGACCTTGTGTTGTAAAGTGGAAGAACAGAGTATATCGTTGGGTTGAAATTATGCTTTTTTTTGCATATTAAGAAGACATTGGTTTCAGTTTCATTTTGGATTTGACTTGATTGGGAGAGAAGTGTCTAGAGGTGTTTGTTTACATGCATTTTAATGGGGTCCTTAAACCCTTACTATGAGCAGTTCAGTGCATTAGAAAAAAGTAGTAGGTGATGTGTCCTCAGTCCCCTACTGCAATCCCTGTATACCTACGACTGCGGTGCCAAATTTGGAATGAACGCCATTTAAAGTTCGCTGCTAACACCACTGTAGTGGGATTGATATCTAACAACGACGAGTCAAAAAATACAGAAGGGAGATAGAGGGCTTGGTAATGTGGTGCAATGAAAACAATCTGTCTCTCGACATCAGCAAAACTACACAACTGATCATTGACTTCAGAAAGAAAGGAGGACCTCACGCCCTCGTCTACATCAACAGAACTGAGGTTGAGAGGGTGAAGAGCATCAATTCCTCGGAGTGACGATAACTGATGACCTGTCCTGGAATTCCCACGTAGATGCGACAGTCAAGAAGGCACAACAATGCCTCTTCTTCCTCGGGCGGCTCAGGAAATTTGGCACGTCCATAAGCTCCCTCACCAACTTCTACAGATGCACCATTGAAAGTATACTGTGTGGGTTCATGACAGCCTGGTACAGCAACTGCTCTGCCCAGGATTGTAAGAAACTACGGAAGCCAACCTTCCATCCATGGACTCTATTTACTCTCTCTGCCGCCCAGAGATGGCCAACATCAAAGACCCAACGCACACTGGTCATTACCTCCTACAACCTGTTCCATCAGGCAGAAGATTCAGAAGCCTGAACACACACACACAAGCAGGTTCAGGAACAGCTTCTTTCTGGCCGTTATCAGACTGATGAATGGACTCTAGCCGCAAATAATATAACCTGCAATGTAACCTGTATGCCTCCAAGTCTTTTTGATCTGTACATCCTTTGCTTGCTGCCTGTACTGCTTGTAAACAAAGCTTTTCACTGTATTTTGGCACACATGACCATAAAATCAGTTAATCTTATCAATCAAGTTAGAAACAAACTGTTGTTGCCATGCAACAGGAGTCCAACAATACAGGCAATCCGAAGAAGTTGGGCACTGTGCTGATTGATTTGGAGAGAAGAAGTCCCTAAGAGCAAAAGTGCTGTTATTCACTATCACCAAGCAGTCTATCTCAACTGAAAAAAAAAAAAAATCCTAATTGGCTTAGTCAGTAAGAGAATAGCTTCAGAGGCAGAAGGCTGTGGAGGTGTGAGGGATGTGCAAAGAGTATAAGGAACCCATTTGAGGTAAAAAGTAAGCTGAGTTAGCAACATTTTTAAGTGCCTCAAAGAGGCGTTAACTAAAAAAAAAGGCACCTGAATGTAGAAATTTGCAGGAAATAAGATAGCTTTGTCAGCTGAGCAAGGAGCTTCAGCACGGATATAGGTGATGGTTTGTGTCTATAAGGTTGTTATTGAGTAGACCGGGTAGTGATGGTTCACTACTTCCTGAAGCTTGAAACACGACTGTTTCAAATAATTCTTGAATTGTGTAACATGTTTTGTGTTTTGTTTAATGTACTATTATTCTTCCTTTAATGGAAAGTACACTGGCAGTCTCATAGGAACCTATTGAGTGACTGACCAGTGCTGTTAATAAGAGCAAAAAATAAAATTTGAATTCTATCAAGCCAGGTCTTGCTCTAGAATTTGCTTTGTCTAGTATTATCATCAGCTGGGATCATAATGAGCTGTATAAATTGATGTTCCCTCTCTAAGTTTGGTTCCTTGTGTCCAGTCCTGATTGGGTGCAAGACTAAAGCTTCAATTTAGTGTCTGTTTTCGGCATTGTTAGATGACATTCAGATGTAAACTGGGGTTGCTGACTGAGGATTGGGTACTGAAGTGCAACACCTCACATTATTCTCATCTGCCACTCATCCATCCAGTCCACCAATAAAAACAAATTGCTGGAAAAACTCAGCAGGTCTGGCAGCATCTGTAGAGAGAAAACATAATTAGCATTTCGGGTCTGATGATCCTTCTTCAGAATCCACTCCCCCAACCTATCAATGCTTTTTTGGAGTTCCATACTGTTCTTCTCTCAGTTTACAATTTTTCTATATTTAAAGTCATCTGCAAACTTTGAAGCATCCAGGACATTTGTTTCTAGAAACATCGCACCAGCAAAGTTAAAGTAGTTGGCCTTCAGTTACCAGGTGTTATCCTTTAAACCTTTCTTAAGACTGTGTGTAATTCTCCAGTCTTCTGGCACCACTTCCTAGTCATAGAGTCATAGTGATGTACAGCATGGAAACAGACCCTTCAGTCCAACTCATCCATGCCAATCAGATATCATAAATTAATCTAGTCCCATTTGCCCCATATCCCTCTAAACCTTCCTTTTTATATACCTGTTCAGGTGCCTTTTAAATGTTGTAATTGTATCAGCCTCTACCATTTCCTCTGGCAGATCAATCCATACACGCACCACTCTCTGTGAAAAAGTAGCCCCTTAGGTCCCTTTTTAAATCTTTCCCCTCTCTCTTTCAACCTATACCCTCTAGTTTTGGACTCCACTGCCCTGGGAAAAATACCTTGCCTATTCACCTTATCCATACGCCTCATAATATAAATATCTATAAGGTCACCCCTCAGCCTCCGTTTCAGGGAACATAGCCCCAGCCTATTTAGCCTCTCTGTATAGCTCAAATCCTCCAACCTGGAAACATCCTAGTAACTCTTTTCTGAACCCTTTCAAGTTTCATAACATCCCTCCTATAACAGGGAGACCAGAATTGCATGCAGTATTCCAAAAGTGGCCAAACCAATATCCTGTACAGCTGCAACATGACCTCCCAACCCCTATACTCGATGTCCAATAAAGGAAAGCATACCAATTGCCTTCTTCACTACCCTATCTACCTGTGACTCTGCTTTCAAGGAACTAAAAACCTGCACTCCAAGGTCTCTTTGTTTGGCAACACTCCTCAAGACCTTTTTCCATTGAGTGTCTAAGTCCTGCCCTGATTTGCCTTTCCAAAATGCAGCACCTCATTTATTTAAATTAAACTCCATCTGCCACTCCTCAGCCCATTGGCCCATCTAATCAATGTCCAGTTGTACTTTGAGATAACCATCTTAGCTGTCCACCACACCCCTGATTTTGGTGTCATCTGCAAACTCACTAACTATACGTCCTGTATTCACATCCAAAGCATTTATATAAATGGTAAAAAGCAATGGACCTAACACCGATCCTTGTGGCACACTGCTGGTCACAGGCCTCCAGTCTGAAAAGCAACCCTCCTCCACCACCCCCGTCTCCTGCCTTCGAGACAATTTTGTATCCAAATGGTTAGTTCTCCCCATATTCTTTGTGATCTAACCTTGTCAACCAGTCTACCACTTGGAATCCTTGTCAAACCCCTTACTGAAGCCCA